TTACTTCAGTAAATAACATGTTGATAAAATTGCACTATATACAACTGCGTTTTGCATCTTATGCAAGTGCAACTCAGGTTGCGTCGTACCGAGTTTAATTTTTCTTCAGTTTCGGCCCTATTTGCATAAACTTCACTGAGAGTTAACTTATCGATATGCGATTCAACTGAGTAAGACACTACTGCAGGAAGCGACTTGATCCGGTAAATACAAGGAGCTCAAACTTTGATATTTTTTGTCCATTTTTGACCTGAAGATTTTAAATTCAGCTATCGCGCATGGTCGCAGCACTCCGCCAAAATATTTATTGTCCATCTGGGAAATCATATACTTAAATGGGGTTTCGAAATGTATTTGTGTCAAACCACAGAGCACGTAAAAGATACAGCGAAATAGCGGTTTTGCTCACCGGAAAACTGGGAAGCTGAAACATTGAAGGGATATTCCCAAAACCGCTGGTTAAATTCAGCTTGGAGGCTAAGTTCCTTGCACAGGGGACATGTCAAACACTCAGTTTTGCCGCAACCTTAGAAAAGAGTGCATTTTGCAGATTCCGCCATCTTCCTCTCTCCACCGATCACCAAATAAAATTATTGGTAATTATGCATACTGAGAGTTAAAATTCCTTGTGGTTCCACGACACAATACTACCGCCCAACTAGTAGTGCTCTTTTTCCTTTACGTGAAACACAAGGCCAAATACAGCCAATATGAGTTCACTTGTTAAATTTTAAAGCAGCAGTAATCGCCTGCGCGATGTGGTTCCGAGCCTAAACCTTGATTTTTCGTAGTGGACACGTTTTTTGGTGGCATAAACTATCAGTCGAAGTATCATGACCATTTCAGGATACTCGAGCATGTCATTTAGCAAAGAACTAAAGTTCTTGAGACCACCAGATTTGTAACCGCGTAGTCCTTCTCAGTAGTTTCTCGTATATTATCCGAATACCATCGAAAACCGTCAAGTAGCTTATAAATACCGATCCAAAGAGCAACAGATTTTGTTCACTAAAAGTTCAGCAGTGAACCCTACAGTCGGTTACTGGCTAACCCATTACCAGCAGCTGAGGGATTAAGCAAACAGAAAACGAAGTACTTATACCTCTGACTGAGAGGGGCAAGGGAGAAAAAGGGGGTCATCCCAGTCA